CCTGCATTGCCAAGCTCTGCAAATTACAGTTTCCTGAGCAAACAGATGACTGTTGCTGTTTTAAGCCTCTAAGTTTTGGGGTGGTTTGCTACACAACAATAGAAAAACGGAACAATGATTTTGTGTGTTCTTTGAAGGGAAAGGTTATTATTAAAAATAGCTAGCTTATTGCCCCTGATTAACTGCCTCACGTTACTTGCCACAGGCAGGGTATGCAGTGGTTAAGAACACAGACTTTGGGACTAGATGGCCAGCATTTGAATACTGACAAGTCAGTCTCTGTGCTTTAGTTTCTTTATCTGTAAAAGGAAGACGACAACTTCTGAGGCTATCAGGATTAAGGAAGGCTGTTTGAAAGGAAGCTATTTTAAAGAAAAGAGGTAGTAGAGAAGAGAAAGTAAAAATATGGCTTAAAAATAGTAAGATAGGAAATCTTAGAAGCAAGGAAAGGAAAGCAGGAATGCTCCGACAGGAAATCAGGGAGAGGCCTGGAAGGAGAGGGTTGCTAGCAGACCTGGGCACCAAATGAAACTGGGCTGTAGAGACGGTTAAGAGCCAGCCAGTGACTGGTTTCTTTGGCTTCAGCAGCTCGAAGCATTGCAGAAACTGCAGCAGGAAGTAGACTGGGCTGAGCAACAGGGCAGTGCCTACAGGAATACAATCTCCCTTCTAAGAGGCCCTCAAACACCCTAAAAAAACTGAGTAAAGTTTACCTTTATTAAGTAGGCCTATGGTTTCCTACCTCCTACATGGAGGTGCCCGCCCCCGCCCCCCCGCCCCAACTCACATCTTCTGACTTAATTGCTGATGCCTGAAATTCTTTTAAACAAGGAGAGAAAATATTTTCATTTCCCATTCAGAGAAAAAAATGACAAAAATGCAAAGGTCTGGCTAAGATAATACTGAGCTTAACTAAGATTCAGATAATTACCCTGCCAAGAGGGGCCCAGTCTGGCATCTATGGAGGAGGAGGCAGGAACTAACGAATGGTTTATTGAGCCCTACAGTCCACAGATAGTAAGAGGATTTAAATTAAATCAACAGATATTCATTGAATGACTTAAGAAACAAACCTAAGTGTGCCATCTATCAGACCTTTTCTGTGTTCAAAGAGAAAGGATTTAAAAGCAGGACACCATCAACCACAGATCATGGTCATTGAAGAGGAAAAAGAACTAAGGCTACTGTAACAGGAAAACTATAGATTTCAGCACTAATTAGAATCATGTTTACTCTCCCAGGAAGACAAACAAGAAGCAATAGAGACCAGCCATTAAGATCACAGACTCTGGAGCCAGACTGCCTGGATTTAAACCCTAACTCTGCCATTTACTAGCTACGTGACAGTGGGTGAGTGACTTCTCCATGCCTTAGCATCCTCATCCTTAATATGAGTAACTGCAAATATTTCACTGGGTTATTGTGAGAATCAAATGAGTTAACACTGAGGCAGGATAGTAAGAAGCTAGGAACATTCCTGGGCAAGTGGAATAGAGAAACTGAGACACGGTTATTAAACAAGGCCAAACAGCTTAGACAACTTACAGACAGCTAGTGAATCGCAGACCTTATCTTCCCTAACCAAGGGCACTTGAGAACAAATGGTTTATACCTCTCCTCCCTACCAGAGAATAAATAGCTTAAATCACGCTGGTCAGGGAGATAGAGGACAGAGACCCAATTAATGCCATTTGTGCCAGCCAAACCCAAGGACAGATAAACTCAGGGAACAAATAACAAAACCCTGATTAGAGCCAGACAGACTCAAGATAAAAGTAAAACAGTAAAGTAGACCAAAGAATAATCCCAAACTCCCCTATACACTCATTGTGAGGCATCAGCATATTATAATCACACCTAGAAAGCTGATGAATATTCTGATGAAACCCTCCCCTAAGATTCTCACAAGCACAAGAGAGATAAACCCTCAAGACAAAAAATACCAGTGCCAGCTTGCTCTAGAGAACACCCATGCCTCTTCTTGGGCATGAACTTTTTACTGCCTCCTAAAGCAGCGGTTCTCACCCCACTGGCGGTCGAACGACCCTTCACAGGGGTCGCCTAAGACCATCCTGCATATCAGATATTTATATTACGATTCATAACAGTAGCAACATTACAGTTATGAAGTAGCAAAGAAAATAATTTTATGGTTGGGTCACAACATGAGGAACTGTTATTTAAAGGACCATAAGGTTGAGAACCACTGTCCTAAAGTCTAAGGGTCCCCACGAGACTTGCAACCAGGGAAGTGGTCGGCAGGGACAGCTCATCCTGGGTTTACCCCCGATCCTGTCTCCAAGGTCCCCTTTTCTCTAACTTTCCAGTGAGCTAACAACAGCTCTGCTCCACCTCACTTCTATCACTGTGACCTTCACTTCCCAGTGAGCTAAGAGAAGCCCTGTGCTAGCTCACTTCTTTCCCATAATGTTTGTAGGGAGCCAAAGCCGAGCACTGCCTAGGCTCTCTCCTGCTGCTTCTTCTACCCTAAGCCCTTCCTTTGTTTCACGGTCCCCCGCTTTAATATACAAACCCTCAGAACCACCTGGACTCATATTATGAAATCTTTCCTGCACAAAGTCAAGAACCCACACACCACAGGCCAGCCTGAAGCAGACCCATTCCAGGCCCAGTCCCTATCTGGTGACAATACACGTAAAATGTTTAGAACAGTACCTGGCACATAGTAAATGCTATTGAAATATTAACTACAATTATTATTTCTATGATTATTTTTCTTATTATGGTCTGAGACATCTGGCTTAAATCTATCAACTCAGGAAGCCATACCATTACATAGAAGTACCTTGTTCTCAGGAGATTCCCAATGCAAGTATTTTTGTAAAGAAGAGAAATAAACAGAGAGGGGGTATGTTAGTACAGAAATCTCATGATTACTTGGGGAATAATTAAATAGACTTGAGGCACTAGACTCCTTATTTCTCTCTCTCTCTCTGATACTTCCTCTCACCCCTTACATTATAAAGAAAGGATGACTTAGTAACAACTTAATATAAGAGGAGAGAGGAGGTATAAAAAATGAGAGGACGCATAATACATTCTGATAACTGCTGACAGTTCAAATGACTTGACTGGTGAAGAACATGGCAACATTAGCTTAGATAATATTTCAGATACTGTCCATGCCTTACAGGACAAGACACAGAACAGGAGGAACTTGGAACAAGCATTCACAATGAAATCTCATGATCTCAAGAGTTAAAACTCAGCCCGGCTGGTGTGGCTCAGTGGTTGAGCATCAACCCATGAACCAGGTCACAGTTTGATTCCCGGTCAGGGCACATGCCCGGGTTTTGGGCTTGATCCCCAGTAGGGGGCGTGCAGGAGGCAGCCGATCAATGATTATCTCTCATCAGAGATGTTTCCATCTCTCTCTCCCTCCCACTCCCTCTCTCTGAAATCAACAAAAACATATTTTTTTTTAAAAAGAGGTAAAACTTAGAAGAGAGTTTGCTACTCTGTGAGTATGGTGAACATCAGGCAAGCTTTACTTTTCTAAATCAAAACTGAGCTTTGGTTTCTAGGAAGAGCTATTTAGAAATATGACCATAGAAAGTACTTCTCAAATAACATAAAAACACAAAAAAGAAAAATTTTCTAATACAGGAAGAAATAGGTAAAGAAATAGAAAATTAATTGGTAGTAGCAGTTTACACTGATAGGCTGTCTCTCACAGAGACCTGGTCTGATTGATTCAAAACTACAAAAAGAAAATTCTGTGCCTCTAAATTTTTTAAGGTTGACTTTTGAGAGGTATTCTACTTACCTCTATTTACCAAGAAGAAAAGAGACCTAAACATAATATGTACATACTATGTATCAAACATAACCAATGCATTTTATGTTCAGTTAATCTTCATAATAACCCTATGAATACATGAGAAAGTGGAAGCAAAGAGAAATAAAGAAATCTCCTCAAAGTATCACTGCCTATAAATGATGGGCCTACCTCAGGACAATTTTGTCTGAAGCTTATATGTGTTCTGTGCACTTCATTACCCTGCCTCAGCCACAACAGACAGGTATTATAATATCTACTTGCCTGAATGTTAACGTCTGCCCACAGAAGTAGGTTGGAGCGCTGGAGTAGAGAACACCTGAGGATTCCGAATCATTCCGGAGTGCTATATTTCTTCGACTGCTCAGACTGTACCCCTCAAAGCCAGCTGTCCATTCTTTTTAAAAAGCAAAGACATTGAAAATTATTAGGATCATTTCAGGACTAGCTTCAGTACAGACACATTAAAAAAGACTTGGAAGTAGAAGAGGCTACTCTTAGAGGTCATGAGCAAGTTTAATAAAAGATTCTTCCATGACAGGGTATTATGGTTCATCCTACAAACCATAAACACACTTTTAGTCTATTCTTAAACAATTTTGGCATGGAAGATAAAAGTGTTATAGCCTATCTGATAAAATCATATTTGAGCTTACACTAACCTGATTAAGAACTAATTAACAAATGAGTTTGAATCTGTTAAACTAGTAATATAGAAGAGATCAACGTCAACCATACAGCTTTTTGAGAAAAAGCCTCTACTCAGATATACACTGAAGGTTTGGATCAAACACTGCAGTTTCCATGCCCTAGCCCAGGGGTGGGCAAACTTTTTGACTCGAGGGCCACAATGGGTTCTTAAACTGGACGGGAAGGCCGGAACAAAAGCATGGATGGAGTGTTTGTGTGAACTAATATAAATTCAAAGTAAACATCATTACATAAAAGGGTACGGTCTTTTTTTTTTTAGTTTTATTCATTTCAAACAGGCCGTAGTTTGCCCACGGCTGTCCTAAACAGTCTGCATCTTTGAGAAAAGCAGAAAGAAGGTAGACATCATATCTGGGCCATATTTTTGCAAATAAGTCAGTGAATATATACGGAATTATTTCCATTTTTTTCATTTAAAAGCATTATTAAACAACAAAAGGAATATATGCATAGCTTGACTTTTTCAAACACATAAAGCTTATGGCACATTTGGTTGTTATTTGCATATCATTCTGGATAAAGTCAATTATTATATTCCTCTCCCTTCCTCTCTGAAATCAATAAAAATATATTTAAAAAAAAAACAAAAAACAAAAAACCCTGCAGTTTCCTGATGCAATATTTAAAATCTGTGGTTTTAGGGAATGCTACCAATCCTGGGTGGCACTATTTTAGACTCTGGAGATAAGAACTGTTGAATTCTTTGTAAAAGTCACACGAAGTAATCTGAGCAGGAAGTAAAGGACACGTCCAGTGTTGTTCTCATCAATCCAGGGGTTAGCCTCAGAAAGAAGGGTGGGCAGCATGCGGCCTTGAGCACAGAAGACAAGTGTTCCTACACACAGTTAAGCTCAGGAGTGAGAAGGCAAGGGCATACCATGCGGCACCAATGTGGAATGACCTATCTGGGGGACGCTCCAAGGACTCCACTCCTGTCGGCCATCTCCTCGGGCGCAGACTCTGAACTGATAATCAACATTGGGGTCTATGTGTAACACTATGAATTCAGTTTCAGAGCCTACATATACATCCTCAAAATGATTTGAAGTACATTTACGAAACTGGAGTCTGTAATCTTGGGCTGTAAAGTCGTCATCCACCTAAGGAGAAAGACTTTGTGTTAGGTAAAAGTCAGAGAATAATTTCTCTTGGCATCACTGTATAAGAACTTTGAATGCGGCCCTCGACGGTTTGGCTCAGTGGATAGAACATCGGCCTGTCGACTGAAGGGTCCCAGGTTCAATTCTGGTCAAGGGCCCATGCCCAGGTTGCATGCTCAATCCCCAATAGGGGGTGTGCAGGAGGCAGCTGATCAATGATTCTCTCATCATTGATGTTTCTCTCTCTCTCCCTCTCCCTTCCTCTCTGAAATAAAAAAAATAAATAAAAATTAAAAAAGAACTTAGAATGTGGCATTTTGGGCCAAGCATACGAGCCCATGTGCTGAATATACTCAATACAGGCTCTTCTCAGGAAGGTCATAGGAAATATTCCATCATTGCGTCCCTTCTTTTCTTTATTGAACCATGTGTTTTAGACCTCCCAATCTGGTATGAAAAAATCTGCTTTCTTTGATGAAATGGCATGATTTCTACACAATAATGCCAAAGATAAAACATTAAAAATTCAAGGATAAGAATCCCACAACTAGCCCAGCTGGTGTGGCTCAGTGGTTGAGCGTCGATCTATGAACCAGGAGGTCACAGTTCCATTCCCAGTCACATGCCCTGGTTGTGGGCTCCATCCCCAGCCCTGGGCAAGGCTCGTGTGGGAGGCGACCAATTGATGTGTCTCCCTCACATCGATGTGTCTCTCCCCGTCCCTTCCACGCTCTCTAAAAATCAATGGAAAATATCGAGTGAGGATTAATAAAATAAAATAAAATATGGTAGCTCATCTATATAACCAATTTAACACACAAAATCTCAGCAATGCTGAGAGTGTGAAGAAATCATTCTTTAGACATTTTATTTCAGAGATATTAGTTGAGTGTTGACCAGAAAGCTCTCAGACACCCAATATTCCCTATCATCATTTGACTCTCCTAAAAAACAGAAATGGGAGCAATCCTTAACTCAGTAAGTTACAACTGAGAAACAATGTAGTGAATCAGGGATTCTAAAAAGTACCTTCAAAACTGTTTATCTCAAACTGGAAGAGCTACCTCAGTTCAAGATCCCTGTGACTTTAATTGTAAAGCAAAAGGGATTTTTGTTTATGAAGAGAAGAAAATATTCAAAGGTAGTTTATCAAAAAAGTAATCTGCCCAGTCTGTGTGGCTCAGTGGTGAGCATCGACCCATGAACCAAGAAGTCACGGTTCGATTTCTGGTCAAGGGCACATGCCTGGGTATAGGGCTTGATTCCTAGTGGGAGGTGTGTGGGAGGCAGCCAATCAATGATTCTCTCATCACTGATGTTTCTATCCCCTTCTCCCTCTCCCTTACTATCTCTGAAATCAATAAAAACAAATTTAAGAGAAAAAATTTAAGGCCCCCAAATCTCAAATCCGTGATGTTGAAGCCACTTCTATAATTCTGAATTACTGACCTTACACCATCGCACAATGATGCCTCCAGGCTTCTCTATTAGTTCTTCTATCTGTACTGGTGGGCGAGATGCTACGGTTCCATGCTTAAAAATGTGGTCTTTCACTATGTTAAGAATTGAGTCATCCAACTGAGCAGATAAACAAGGCACATCGACCAGTAAAGGCACTTCTGGTAAGCTGAGGAAACAAAGCTCATGTGCTTATGAGGCTTTAACTGAGAGTTAAACATATAAGGAGCGGCCCTGGCCGGTGTTGCTAAATGGTTAGAGCATTGGCCAGAGCACCGCAGGGTCTTGGGTTTGATTCCCAGTCAAGGGCATGTACTTGGGTTGCAGGTTCGATCCCCAGCCCGGTTGGAGTGTGTGCAGGAGGCAACTAATCGATGTGTCTCTCTCACATTAATGTTTCTCTCTCTCTCTCTCCCCACCCCCATTCCCTCCCTCCTTTCCACTCTCTAAAATCAATGGAAAAAATTCCTTGGAGGAGAATTAACTCCCCCACACCCCCA